AAAGCAGCATGGTTATTTTTTCAAAGTCCCGCCTGGGACTTGGTCCTGGCTCACTGTTTGGCACCATATCCACCCAAGTGCTCCTACCAGAAACTCAGGTGTCAACCTCAACCCTCCCTTTCTCCTTTACCCCAAATTGACTCAGCCTCCAAATGTTGCCTACTTATCTCCAAAACCACTCTTAATTCTGTCCATTTCCTCATTTTCATTCACCATCCAGATGTTCCTTGAGTCTGGTTGTACTACTCCTTTTTTGGCTTCAATTTCTATTTTTAAGCCTTATTGAAAGGAACACACATTTAAAAAATTTTAACATTAATTGCCTTTAATATTTCCTGCTAATGTTTTTTTTAAAAATTGTAAACCATTTCTGATATATGTCTTGTCAAACTCTATTTTTTTTCATATGTGTTATTGGCTTCCGAAGATCCCAATCTTCATTTGAATATTGAGGAACTGAACAAAGAATTTATGCTGAAAAGTGAAGAACTTTATGATTCTCTCATGAATTGCCACTGGCAGCCTCTGGATACAGTTTACTCTAAAATCCCAGATGAGACCCTACAGAAACCAGATGTTCATTAAGCTACCCAATTATTATATTAACTATATCCTGTTCTGTTTTTGTTTTTCAAAAAATAAAATTCTCCCAGAAATATACTGGGTTCTGTATGTAAATACAAATTCCAAGGACTCAAATATGATTGAAATGATAAAACATAATGTAAATAAACTTTACCACCATGTCCAATTCTGGAATTGTGTTATATTAGACTAGTGGCCCGGTGCACAGATTCATGCTCATTGAAAGGAAATTAGAAGAAATATTTTAATACCGCTATTCACCATTTCTCTAATAGAAGTGTCAGAGATGAAAGAAAATTAGTAAAATGTACATAATAATATATAAATTGATTAATAAATAACATGATGTAACAACAACATATGAAAACGAAAACAACAAAAAGATGATATAAAACAAAAACTATATTCTGCACAGTGAGAAAACCTGAAGTCATTTTCAAGGTCCATCATCTCTTTTCAGTCGGGTCAAGTTTCTAAATCTCCATTTTCCTGCTAATGAAAAGAAAACAAGGATTCCACTGAGTCTCCTTTCTACCTACTCCAGGACTTCTGTGAGGATCAAATGAGATAAGGCACAGGAAAAATGCTTCACAGACATTTGGCTAAAGTATAAAATGCTCCTGGCTATAAAGCAAGTTGTGTTTCTGGGCGGAAAAAACTGCAAGGAGGCTAGTCGCTAGGGAGAGGAAGCTGGGCATTGCTATGTGACATCATTACCTGGTGCCCACAGCCACCATTTCTGGGCTGGGCTGGGCTGTGGGCCGCATTTTGCACCATGGTATCTTGGCAGTGTTGGCTGCGATTTGGTGGGGTGTCGCTCCAGGGTGGTGGCGAGGCCTGGGTCCCACTTGGGGAAAGCCTAATGTTGCTCTGTGGGTGCCAGGTTCACAGTGCTGTTTCTCTATAAATGGCCAGTGCACTTCACGGCAGCTCCTGCATTGACCGTCTGCCCCCTGGTGGTCAGTGCACGTCATAGTGACTGGTTGGTAATGCTGGGGGTCTTTCCCAGCATCTGGGAGGGTCCAGGAATCTGGAGAAGGTGCTGCGTGTATATTGATAAAGAGACCAGAAATAAAATATAAATTTTTAATCCATGGGGAGCCATGGTTACCTTCAGTAACCAAGTTCTTCTGAATCTCCAGATCCCTTGCTCTTTATTAACACAAATTGTCCTAAAGCAAAGCATATATACATGTTACAGGTTAAGGTTTAGTATACAGTTGGCATTGTCTGTTTTGGGGGAACTGCCTTTGGCTGTTCAGGTGTTTGGCCAGCAGGAGGCAGTAACATGAAGATTAAAATGCCCTCAGCTAACTGGCAGCAAGCAATCATTTATGCATCCTTTTCAGGTTTGGGGAAATGCCTTCGGCCATTCTAGTGGGTAATAACATATGATTTAGCCCTGCTGAAGCCTCAAGGTTCCATCAACCTTTTGATGAAACTTCTTGCATTTATGACATGCTGGAATTAGCCTCCAGTGGGTTGAATGGTTGGTCACTTAGCATATTAACCTTTTATATATATAGACTAGAGGCCTAGTGCACGAATTCATGCACCGGTGGGGTCCCTTGGCCTGGCCTTCAGGGATCAGGCCAAAACTGGCTCTCCAATATCCCCCGATGGGTCCCAGATTGTGAGAACGTGGAGGCCAGGCCAAAGGACCCCACTGGTGCATGAAGGGGGCCTGGGAGGGACACGGGAAGGCTCCAGGGAGTGTCCGGCCCATCTCACCCAGTCCCAATTGGCCAGACCCCAGCAGCAAGCTAACCTACCAGTAGGAGTGTCTTCCCCCTGGTGGTCAGTGCACGTCATAGCGATTGGTTGAATGGTTGAACGAACAGTTGAACACTTAGCATGTTAGACTTTTGTTATAGGATAAGTGCCAGATGATGTCATGGTAGAACAAGCTGCACTGTGAGACATTTGAAAATAGATATGTGATGGGTCTGATCTGAACTGATTGGGCCTTTGCTACTTTCCTCTAATGTTAAACTCTCATACGCACAGAGATGCAAGGTTTCTTGCCTGCATCTTGTATAGGAAATGTAGATTAGAACTTGGATGTTTGATCTCCATTTTCTGACCCTCAGGCAGTAGAGACTCACTCATTTCGATTGAACAGAAAAATTCCTAAGCATGAAAAAAGTTTGCCTATCAGTCTTCTAAGAGAGGAATTGGGCCTGCATACAGGCCAGTTCTGAAACTTCAATGCATGTATTGACTGTGCCTCTTATAAAATACTAGAGGCCTGGTGCACAAATTCATACATTGGTGGGGCCCCTTGGAGTGGCCTGCGAAGATTGGGCCCCAGTTCGCAACCCCAGCCTTGCAGCCCCGCCTGGCACCCTGCCTGGCACCCTGCTGTGGCCTGGTGCTGCCCCTTCACCTGCTCCACCATTCCGCCTGAGGGGCGATGGATCAGGTTTAGGCTCCCCGCCTGGCTGCCTCAGCGCCTGGGAGCCAGGCAGTGGCCCCGCCCCCTGCTGCTGCAACTGGTTGCTCTCTGGAGGCAGCTGGTGGGGTGATCAGGCCCCCCCTTGCACCCACCTTGACCTGGCACCACCCGCTCACCTGCTCCACCATTCCACCGTGGTCCTGCTCTCATCGGGGCCCATTGGGGCCAGCAGCTCCTCCACTGCCACCCATTTTCAGTGCCGCGTTGCTGACGCCCACCATGTTTCACACTGCCCCCTGTTGGTCAGCGCACGTCATAGCGAGCAGTGGAACTCCTGGTCAAACGACCATCCGAGAGGACAATTTGCATATTAGGCTTTTATTATATAGGATGTTCTTTTTTTTTTTTTTTTTGTCCTGAACATAAACATTGTCATGTTTATTGCTTTGTCAGAGATAAATACCTAAGTGAGACCCCTGGGACTGCTCTGGCTGACTTGAAGGCCTGAAGACTTGTTACTTAGAAGAGTTGATCAGACTCTCTCCTGCTCTGCGAGTGGTTAAAACATGCTAATCCTTGTCCCAACTAAGTTCAAAGAGCTGAATCCAATATGGAGAGCCAGGTGGCTGCAGCCACTCTAAAGGAGCTTGCTGTGCCTCATAGCAGAGGACAGGGTTTCTCAACACAGGCACTGTTGACATTTTGGGCCGGGCACTTCTTTGTTGTGAGGACTGTCTGTGTATTGTCCTGACCTCTACACTGCATGCCAGTAGCACTCCACATTCAACTTGTGACATCCAAAATGTCTCTAACATTGTCAAGTGTCCCATGGGGACAAAATTGCTCCCAATTGGGAATCACTTGAATAGGACATTGGTTCTCAAACTTTAGGGTGTATCCGAAATTCCTGGAAGGCTTGTTAAAACAGATTCCTGGGTACTACCCCCAGAGTTTGATTCAATAGGTCTGGGTGCAACCTGAAGACTTTCAGTGCTAAAAAGTTTCTGGGAAATGCTCATGCTGTTGGCACAGATACACTCTGAGAACCACTGGCATTGCGAAATCCCCAACTGGTTCCACTTAGTTCTATGTGGTAAGGAGGGTGAGGTTCTCCTTTCATTTCCTCACCCCAACACAGGTTGTGTAAGTCCCCACTTTCCTATATCCACTCTCCTCCTAGAGCTATGTGTTTTGGGGACCAGCACCATGTCTGATCCCAGGGAATGGCTCTTATGTGATCTGAGCTTCGCATAATGGTTCCATTTCTCTGGATAATGATTGATTTATATAGAGACATGACAAAATTCTGGCTAAAGTGATATATATATATATATATATATATTGATTTCAGAGAGGAAGGGAGAGGGAGAGCTAGAAACATCAATGATGAGAGAATCATTGATCAGCTGCCTCCTGTATGCCCCCCACTGGGGGATTGAGCCTGCAACCCGAGCATGTGCCTTTAACCAGAATTGAACCTGGGACCCTTCAGTCTGCAGGCCGATGCTCTATCCACTGAGCTAAACAGGCTAGGGCAGTTTTCCTCACTTTTAAATGAAGAAACAAAAGACAGCTGTCTTCTCTTTCTCTGGACATTAGGTTTAGATGTGATGCCTGGCACTGCTGCAGCCATATCATGACCATTAAGGGAATAATCGGATCAATTGGACATGATAGGGAAGGAAGAGCCGGAACCTATATGACACGCCAATAACTTTTGCTGGCACGTGAAACCCTCTCTTATAATCTTCCATTTACAATTTTTTCTGTTTAAAAAACTTTGCAACAGCGTTACTCTCCATGTTTTCATCCACATACACTTGTGAATTTTTGTTCTCAGTGATGAATTTTGTTAAGTCTCGTAATAGGAGTAGCCTGATTGATGAAAGTAGTAGTTCGTGCATATCTCTGAAGGTCACGAAATATAAACCTGATGTAAAATCTCTGTCATCAGTGATGCAGCAGCAAAAGTCCTACTGATAATATCAAACGGAGTCATAAAGTCTTCTCTCGGACTATCAGGGTACATGTATACATTAAAAAATAAATGTATTTTTCATCATCATATACTGTGTTTTTGTCACTCGAATGAATTTTATTTCTTCAAGGTTCTTCACATACGTACACCTTAAGAGATATCAAGTAGGCGTAACATGTTCTCAAAATATTAGGGTTGGCACGCAGAAGAATTTTGAGTCAGAGATTTTGCTGGTTTTGGCACGCACTCACAAAAAGGTTGCCCAACCCTGTCCTATACCAATGGCATTGAGCTGTTGAATTAGCCAACCCTGGAATCTCTCAATATCTGGACTTATTTTGTACAATAATATATTCTTTTTTTAAATCCTCACCTGAGAATACGTTTTTATTGATTTTAAAGAGAGAGGAAGGGAGGAAGAGTAAAGAGAGAAAGAGGAAAAAAAAAACATTGATGTGAGAGAAACATTGATTGGTTGCCTCCCAAGCGTACCCCTACGGGTGATTGAACCTGCAACCCAGGTATGTGCCCTGACCTGGAATCAAACCAGCAACCTTTTGGTGCAGGGTGATAATAAATTTTCTTATTATATAATTCACTCTTAATTTTTGATATTGTAGCAAAGCATTCTAACAGATACAGCTAACATGTGCAAAAACTTTAGAGTCCTTGAATCAAAAGGAGACCAGTCTCAATGATAAATAAATAAATAAATAAATAAATGGAGACCAGTGATTGTGTTTAGAGCTGTGCTAATACAGTAGCCCATGTGGTTATTGAAATTTTGATTAGT